TTTTGACTATTAATTGCCCAAGAAATTTCATTTTAAAAGATGCCAAGTCTGAATAAATTGCTTGTACCATAAAATTGCAACAGGAACAAAGGGACTCAATTAATACTTTAAAACTTAGTATCAGTTTAGAGAATATTTATTGACAGTTGTATGACTCTTTTACTCATTTACTTATTTATTCAACAATTATTTAAGTTGATATTATGCAAAAGTAGAAGACAATAAGATTGGAAAATTGCTACAAGAGATCTATGCAAATAAGGCGATGAGATAGAAGAGAGAGTTTGACAAAAGAATCTTTCATAGAAGTTATCTTACTATCAAAACCTGAGCTACCTATGCAAAGTGAGGAGGGAAGGAGTACCCTGAGACAGAGAAAGGTTTTTGCAAATACAGGGAGGTAGGTAAGGGGCACCTGACACATGAAAACTAGAAAGGACCAGGTCATAAAGGTCTTTAAAAGCCATACTAAGGAAAGTGAGTTACATTCTGAAGCTAATGGGGGTTCTCTGAAGGGACACAAGCCTTACACTCAAGTGTGATTTAGCAAGCTCATTGGAGGAAGGCAAGGCTAGAAGTATTCAGAATGGTTAGAAGATTACCGTAGTGGTCTGGGGATTGACTACAAAGTGAGGCGACCTGGTGGCCGACCACTGCTGTGCTTGTATGTGGTTGTGTCAATATGATTGTGAGTTCTTGTGGATAATTTCAATACAAATCTATTGAAAAATATTTGATTTTTACTTTAAAAATTGCATAAAGTAGACACTCAGATGTGGAGTTTCTGTTTTCACCTATTCATATTGTTTTTCTACCTACTCTTAAGAGGTAAAATAATGAAAATATTAACTGGATGACTGTAGAGAGGTTTTGGAGAAGTGTTAGCTTTTCCTTTATTTTTAAGATGCTGCCATCTAGTGAAACTTTTGTAAAATCACTTTGTGGTGATCACATTCAAGTTTGTATCTTCTGGCCCTTTCCTCAAACAGTTACATTTTAATAATTTATGTTTCTGCCATCCATGGGGAAAGAATTGCACATACATTAAAACATATTGTAAGAGCCTCAAGTGATTTTTTTATGCAGTACCACAGATGTAACTACAGGACTTTTAATAATAGGATATGGTATGTTGAAGTTTCATGGTTTCTTCATTGCTCTATTCTTTATAAATAATTGATAATAAAAATGCTGCCTTTTCTATTCCATAAGTTTTCTAAGTTGAGTTTTAAAAACAGATAAAGAAAAAATTGAGTTGTAAATATTGTTTCACAAACAAACATCATTGCCTTCATTAGAAATGTTGGCAAGAAAAAAAGAGGATTTTAAACTCAGAACCTTTATTTTTTTTTCCAAATTGAATTTCAGTATTAAAATGTATCTTAAAATACAAATAAACAAATCTGTGTGTATGTGTGTGTTTACTGAACCTAAACAGTAGTCTGCAAACTCAGATTTTGATCATCTCTAAATCTTGATAGAGATTAATTATATTTCTTTTCTATCATTCTCAAAACTTACGTTAGCATGGAGGATTTGTCATATTTTTATGACATGTATTGCTCATTTTTTTCTGTGAGAAGCAAAGTATTAATTCATCTTCCCCTGCAAAAAACAAAACAGAACAAAAAAAAATCAGATATATAGTACTGGTAAGAACTTTTTCTTCTATGAAATACTAGTTATGGACACATTATAATGAGTAAGGTTTCTGTTGACTCTTCAATATATTGAGCTTTATGAGACTAATGCTATAGTTTAGGGGTTAGCAAATCTTTTCTGTAATGGGCAAGATAGTAAGTATTTCTGATTTTGTGACCCATATGGTCTCTGTTGAAACTACTCAATTCTGCTTGCAAAAGTTGTCATAGACAATATTTAAACAAATGAGATTAGTTTTGTTCAAATACAACTTTATTTATTAAAAACAGGTCATAGTTTGCATCCCTCTGTTCAGGGAAAGTACCTGTAATAGCAGTTTGAGGTTAGTTATTTTTAAGAAGTATTAGAACAATCTAAAATTGGTCCCTCTGTAATTATTTACTTCAAAAATTTCAATCAATAGATGTGTTTCTTCAAAGATGCAGGAGATTTAAAGTTTTGAAAATGTAATTATTAAATATGCACTTATATTTTGGTATTAAAATTATCCACTTAGTAAGCTAAAAATAGAAAAGCTCACAGGTAAAACGTTTTTGCAAAATGAACTATCACCCCTATTTAATGACCAGGGATTTTTTTTAAAAAATTCATGTTTATGTACAAAATTGTCTTAATATGGGATGGATCACTATATTCTCGAAGTAAAACTTTTAACATTTTGATTTACAGAAAGTTAAAGGTTTTAATGATAAGACATTACAGTGAAAAGTTTATACTTGGGTATAATTTGGGTAATAGAATTTATTGCTTCAGGTTGTCCTTCTGGGAACTTAATGAAAACAGAGGCTTAGTTTCTGAAACAGTGAATTCTACTAGGCAGACATACAAAACACTTGGATCATGTAATCGGGTAAATAAGACAGACTAGAGTCAGACAGTAAGAGGCTATTAGGGTCTCAAGTCAGTGTATAGGGAGAACATAGTGTAGAGTCATAAACAGCATCATTTTTATTTGGTCATATTTGTGTCAGTTGATCTAGGCAATACTTAGTCGTAGAGATCCTGCTAGTCTCGACTGAACTCGCTCATGCATCTCTGGCCAACTAAGGAAAGGTGGGGAGAGTAGCTGATCCAAGCTGAGCTCATGTGAGGGTAACTTTGATCCCCATTTCTTTCGTCTTCCATCTGAGCCAGCAGGTTGGCTATGCAGGTGCTTGTTACAGAGATGGCAGAGGGCAAGAGAGAGAGAGCAAGCCTAATCTAATCACTCAAAGTCCCTTGGAGTCTCTGCTTGTATTACATGTGCTAATATTCCATTGGTCAAAATAAGTCACCTGGCTAATCCCAGGGGCAGAGAATTGTATCCTGTCCACAGTGGGAAGAACTGCAAAATTACATAGCAAAGGAAATGGATGCAAGGAAAGACAAAGAATAGGAACCATTAGGGCAATTTACCATAGCTTGTGTATACTTGAATTAATTAAATATGGGCATGATTGGGGTTTAGTGATAACTGAAAACTGCTATTAACTTCATCAGGTTGGTAGGATACACTAAAGCAGAGGTTCTTAAACTTTTTAGTAATGAAAACCTTTTACACTCTTAAAAATCACTGAGGACCTTAAAAAAGGTTTTGATACTGTGTTTATATCTGTACTTACTGTATTTGTAATTAAATACATTTATTCATTCATTCACTTACTTATTTTAGAGCAACAATAACAAACACATTACATATTAACGTAAATAATATGCTGTTAGGGAAACAAAGCCATATTTTCTAAAACAAAAAGAATGTTGTATATTTGGCAAATCTCTTTATTGTTTGGCTTAATGGAAGACAGCTGGTTTTCTTTATCTGCTTCTGTATTCAATCTCTTCTTTTTTTTTCTTCATGAAGCATATGAAGAAAATCAGTCCTCATGCAGATAGAGTCAGAAAAAAACAGAAGTAATTTATTGGCTTTTCAGTTTATTGTGAATATTGTTTGATACTGTACCAGAATTTAACAAGTTGTGGTATGCAATGTGAAACCAAATTACTGACCTTTCTGTACTTTGTTACATTAAAATCCATTGTGCTATGGTGAGGGCTGTGAATTGTGTGAATTGTGTAAGAATGATGAATCACAGACCTGTACCTCTGAAACAAATAATATATGTTAAAAAAAAAAAAAAAAGAAGAAGATAGTAGGAAGGGAAAAATGAAGAGGGGGAAATCAGAGGAGGAGATGAACCCTGAGAGACTATGGACTCTGAGAAACAAACTGAGGGTTCTAGAGGTGAGGGGAGTGGGGGGATGGGTTAGCCTGGTGATGGGTATTAAAGAGGGCACTATTGAATGGAGAACTGAGTGCTATATGCAAACAATGAATCATGGAACACTATATCAGAAACTAATGATGTAATGTATGGTGATTAACATAATAAAATAAAATTTAAAAAAATCCATTGTTTGGTTTTACACTTTGAATATATCTTTTATCCATGCTTGATCTGTAACATCAAACATTGGTTGTTTGAAAAATATTGGTAATCTACCTATTTCATTATGTAATATTTTAAAATTATGTATTACTACTAAACTCATCAGAAATATCTTTAAATAGTGGGAAATGGACATACTCATAAAAGCGGATACAAATTTTCAAAATCCTAATTTCTCTTGGAAACTACTTTTTTCATTGGCAACAAATATTATGAGTGGTTTTCCTTGAATTGACAGACTCACTTCATTCATTTTCAGAAGAATGTCTGTCAAACACCCAGTCTGAGTTACTGTTGTTTGTCTTTCAATTGTTCTTTGATGCAAAAAATGGTTCTCTGGGAAATAAAAGTGGCTAGTTCAGCTTGCAACTCAAATAATTACATGAGTACATTATTTTGAGGCAACCATCTTCAGAATGTGCTCAGATGTTTTATGCATACTTCCCACGTTAAACCTTAAACATATGAGAATTAAGGCATTGAGATTTAAAGAAATTAATCATTTTTACAGCTTTCTCAAGGAGATTTTTAAGTGGAACTACTTATTGTCCCTCCCAACCCCCCAAAACTAAATGGTTTTTACCTGCCATGACTGCTAGTATGATTTGGTGCCACTGCCTTGCTTTGTACTAACATGCCGGCAGTTTTCCCAGAACTGCTTTTGTTCTATCAGTGCAAATGTCAGCACAGTGAGGAAGGCAAAGAACGTCTTCATATTATGAAAACTATTTTGACCTGAGAGGATCTTGGAAATGCCCAGTGTTTTGCGGTTCAGACATTGTGAACCACTGCACCAAAGGATAAACTATATTTATAGTACAGCAGTTTGTCAAAGATTTTCTCAGAGATATTTATACTTACTATTTCTAATCATTAAGCAAATTTAAAACTTGTTCTTTGGTTCTTCCCCAGGGTTGTTTTGTTGGCTTTGATCTAGCACATGCAGTTGGAAATGTTGAACTCCACTTACATGACTGGGGAGTTGATTTTGCCTGCTGGTGCTCCTATAAGGTACAAATTACTTAATATAGTTACATCCTTTTATCACACATTGACATTGATCTAAATGAAAAACTGGATCAGCGGCCAGTTTTAACCATTTGAGTTACTTTGCTCCATTTCTTTCATTACTGCTTTTTCTGATTTTAGTTAATTATAAAGTCATATGATACAATAGTATAAAAATTAATTAAAATCAGGTATTTTCATCCACTGTAGAGTACTTACTCCTTTATTTACCTGGCTGCTATAGAAAAGTCAGGAGGTTTGGGGAGGGGGGGAAGCTCCACACTTAGAACTTAATTGAAATTGATTAGGTTCTTAGTTTTTTGTTGGTATGTTGTGAAATTTCTACTATGTAAAGATAATTCTTACGGAATCAACTTGATACTGACATCTGAAGACAATTTAATAGACAGGGGTCATGGAAATGAAACCAATTTTATTTTAACTTAGGTGTTTTTAAAATATGCTACTTTCTTAGATTTTTTTTTTTTAAGATTTTTAATTTTTTTATTTATTTGAAAGAGAGAGACACAGCGAGAGAGGGAACACAAGCAGGGGGAATGGGAGAGGGAGAAGCAGGCTTCCCGTGGAGCAGGGAGCCCGATGCGGGGCTCGATCCCAGGACCCTGGGATCATGACCCGAGCTGAAGGCAGACGCTTAACGACTGAGCCACCCAGGCGCCCCAAAATATGCTACTTTCTTACTACTTAAATATTTTTGTGACAAATAATTGAAATGAATAAGCTTTAAAATTAGATAGGCTTCATTAGAACTGTTATCTGTTAGTTGGGGCAAAATTTGACCAAAAAAGTAATAGGTATTTATTCTCAATTAATAATGCTGGGGTGCCTGGGTGGCTCAGGCATTAAGTGTCTGCCTTCGGCTTAGGTCAGGATCCCAGGATCCTGGGATCGATCCCCGCATCGGGCTCCCTACCCCGTGGGAAGCCTGTTTCTCCCTCTCCCACTCCCCCTGCTTGTGTTCCCTCTCTTGCTGTGTCTCTCTGTCAAATAAATAAATAAAATCTTTGAAAAAAAATGCTATGTTTATTTTTTCTTCGAATAATAAGGTGACGCAAAGTTCTGTTTTATTATAAAAGCTCAAATTATCACATGTTTTGAACTGGTCAAAAGTTGGTTTCATAACACAAAAGTCAAATGATTTCATTGTTTAGTTTTGTCATATGCTCAAACAATTTAATTTCTTTTCAATCCAGTATTTAAACTCAGGAGCAGGAGGTCTTGCTGGTGCCTTTGTCCATGAAAAGCATGCCCATACAATTAAACCTGCGTGAGTACCATCTTCACATTCTTTGGTGATGAATAAATTAATTTGCATTAATAATATGCTAAATTTACATAAGTTCATTAAGGTACTATCCAATAAGAATCTGGATTGATTATAATTGTATCACTATTCTATTAACAATGATGCACTTTATCAGAAATAAATGCCTTTCAAAGAGTTCAATTGGTTGAACAAGAAATTTAATCACAAAAAGGGAAGCTTCAATGCTAAAAATGAGTCACTGTAATCATGTAGAGCAGATGGTTTAATGCAAAGAGACGACTTATTTTTGTTCAAAAATTAGACTTCAGAAAATTTCAGATTCCTCACATTGATGAATAAATCAAAGGCAACCAGAGCTGTGCCTAATCGAGCCTTAAATGTGGTATGTTATTATTAAAATTACATCTACCTTTAAAGCTAGAAACATTATACCGTGGTCTTGTAAGGATTATCTTCTGTCCTAAAAGATTTTATAATCCATGAAAACTGAAGAAGCTGAACACTGAACAACACAGGCTGATTGCATAAAAAGCAATACTTTTCTACTTTATATAACTTTCATTTTTTAGAGCAAGTATAAATGCAAATGTGATCTATTAACACATTTATACATTTTTATTTGGGGAACTTGTAAGTTTGTTTTTATCTGGTATGGAGATACAGAAATAATATTCTGCAAAAGTTCCTTTAATAGCTGTTGTATCAGAGTATGTGTGATGAGGAGACTGTCTAGACTCATAATAGGTAATATAATAATGTTTGATTAGTTTTCTGAATCTTCTCAGCCACTGGCTGAGTGGTGTAATCTTTACAAGAATTGAAGCTGAATTAGTAATAAAACTTGGAGCACCTCACATTTCTGCAGTTTTACGCATATAAATCCAAGAAATTTAAGATGATTTGCTACAGTTCATTTAATCATGTCTAAAATTTCTTCAAGATTTTAAAGTTTTAAAATTATTTTAGAGCATTTTCTTTAGACAGGTATTTTGTCAGGCAGACGTCTTCCACAAATACACTGTCAGTACATTAGATTTCTCCCCATGTCCCAAATTCTCTGAAAAGAATATAAAGCATTACTATGTTATAGGAATGCCATGCATATTTTAAAAGATCTCTCTTTCCTTTTTAGCAAACCCTGCTGATAGTGTTTTACCTAGCATAATTGTTTTCCGTGTAGACAGTATATAGGATATTGCTTCCTTTGGGTGAAGACTCATTACTCTGACCATTTCCCATTCTCCACTTGTTTAACTTGTAATAGAGGATCTGATGAATTGTATCAACCCAAAAACAAGCTGGTGAACTGGTTGGAGGCTATGTAAATAATCTACACAAATTCTCGAGAATGTAAGGGTTAGCAGTTTAGTTCTGATCTTACAGCATATGTCTGTTGCACTTGAGATTTCTTTTATCACTATTTACCCTTTATGGATGAGGAAGAGAAGAAGATGAAGGGTTGTAGTGGGCTCATGTGTGCTTCATCTTGTAGAATCCAAACATCCTCTAGGACACTGTATGTGTTAAATCTTTGGTCCCAGGAGAAAGACTATATAGACAGACCAGATTCGCATCACTGCTTGATCACTGGCTGGTCTATACCCTGAAGAATGCTCCTTGATCTCTTGGTGTTCTAGCCTCTAAATACAGGTAATAGGGATGCCTGGGTGGCTCAGTCGGTGAAGCGTCTGCCTTCGGCTCAGGTCATGATCCCAGGGTCGTGGGATGGAGCCCTGCATCGGGCTCCCTGCTCAGTGGGGAGCCTGCTTCTCCCTCTGCCTGCTGCTCCCCCTGCTTGTGCTCTCTCTCTCTTTCTCTGACAAATAAATAAAATCTTTATAAATAAATAAATAAATAAATAAATGTAATAACAGCATCTACCTCATAGGCAATAATTCTGAGAATAAAATGAGATGGGGCACATGTAAAATGCTAAGCACAGTGGCGTAAGCATTATATGTGGTCCTTAAATGGAGGCTAAATGCTTTGTTGCTTCACTGTGAAGTTGTACGTTAACTGGCAGACTTTGGACTAGTAGAGATCATTTCTCTTAAGTAGAAAACACAACCTCAGAGACTATGGTTCATTACTGTGAGGACGTTAAACAGTTTTGTTCATTTCAGCAGGCCTTTGAGAAACTGCTGACCGCGTAAGTCTCCATTCCTCGAATTCTCTCTTGTCCCGGCCTTACCATCTTACTGGTTCCTCATTAATTAATGAGTTAATGAGATCTTTATACATCTTCATTTCATATTTGTATGAGGGCCGTGCTTTTAAATTTTTTGAAAATTGTATGTTATTATCTGTTGTTGCATTTTAACTGTCTGGCTTTGGAGACTGACAAGACTCAAATCAGGCTTGACTTATGAAGCCCTCTTTACAGAAAACCCCAGTTGGTGTAGTTTGTTGGTTTGTTTGTAAAGCTTTTTTTTAATATCATGTCGGAGTGACTAATTCCAATGGTGCCAACTTCTACCCAATAGTGTAACTGCTACTGATATTAACAAACTTTGTGAAGTAAACTCTGTTGCTTTTTTAAAGGGTGACATCTAGTGGCTAAGCATGTTATTTCAAATAAATAGTATACAAATGACATTTCTTTTCACTATCCAGTTGTTTATTGTTTCCCAAGAATTTTTAAATTATATATATTTAAACTGTAAATATTATTTGACTATATGTTTATAGTGCAATAATTGTGTAGTCAAAGCCTTCAGTAAAGAAAAGAAATAGGATGAAGATCAAAGTTAAGATTAGGGGCATTATAGGTATGTGATTAAACAGAATGAATAAATGTTCATCAAGGGTGGTGAAGAAGGGCATTATGGAAGTGATTGACCCACCAGGTATAGGTATAGAGAGTAGATCCCAGGACATGTAACCCTGCATATTCAGTGTATAACTTTGAAGTATCTCTTATATGTTTCCATTAGCAACTGGTAAATTACATCTGTACCAAGAATGTCACTTCTTTTTCTTCTTCCCTTTTTTTTTTTTTTTTTAGTTTAAATAGGTATTTTGGCCATTGTTCAAACAGATGACCTAAGACTTTTTCCAAGAACCTTTTGCCAGTAAAGAGAAAGAGTACAGGCCATAGTTGCTCCACAGCATTAAGCATCATAACTCAAGCTGTTATTCTTAACTAGAATTTGACCTTGTCCTAGTTTATCACCACCTTTTCACATTCCAGTGTCATATTCTAAACTTTGTCTGTAGCTGAGAATTATTCTGAATTAGAACTGGTTGTGAGTAAATGCCATCTTTTTTTTTTCCGTCAGGGCTGACCTCAACTCAGTCTATAAAATTAATAATTATCATTCTGAGATATAAAGGGAAATATTTTTAATTGTAGGCATTTGAGAATCAGAAATGTATCAATAAAAGTACTTAAATACTTTGTTTTTTTTTTAACTTTATAAATGTTGACTTTTCTGGTATACTTTAAATCAATACTTTTTGATTTTAAGGGATTCAAAAATATCTGGGAAGCTCTAAATAAAATAAAATATTAAAAAACAAAAGCGGGGGGGCACCTGGGTGACTCAGTGGGTTAAGCGTCTGCCTTCAGCTCAGGTCATGATCCCAGAGTCCTGGGTTTGAGCCCCACATCGGGCTCTCTCCTCAGCAGGGAGCCTGCTTCTCCCTCTCCTTCTGCCAGTGCTCCCCCTTCTTGGGCACACTCTCTCTCTCTCTGTCAAATAAATAAAATAAAAAATTAAAAAAAATACCTGAAGCTCATAAAATGTAATTCAACAGCCCCTGCCATACACACACATTTTTTTTTTCTTTTGAGAGACTTTAAGAACATAAGAACAGGAATGGATCATATGAACTATTAAGATTCTTTCTGTCACTTACTTTTTTACCTCCTCCAGTGAAACCATACATACGAGAAAATGGCTGTTCTTCATTTTCCATGCTGACATAATAAACCTCCAAATACTCCAATGTATTAGATCCCTTGAAATGTTCATTTCTCCTGGGATTTTTTTTTTCTTTTAAGTTTTTTGAGTGACCAAAAATGGGGCCTACTGATAATTTTGATGAAAATGCTAGAATTTTAAATCATGCCAGTACATTTCCATAGTCAGCTAGAGGTGTTTGATTGAAGCCTATAAATAGAGATGTCAGTTTTAAGACTTTATTAAGGGCTTGAGTCATCTCTTTTAATTCTAATAAGCCATTTCCAGGTTAAAAAGAACTAGCCAAAGGGGCTGGACAACTTCAGCGCATAGTTAAGGCAAATTTTAGAACTCAGAAATGTAAGTTATTATTTTTATTTGGCAACTTAAAAAAAAAAAAGACATACCAAACAATATTCAGGAAAGTCGAAGAAAGGATAAGAAGAGGCATGAAGAAAACAACTTAAAAATTATAAGCTTATGCCATGCTTGGCCCAACTGTACGATTAATGTTATGAGTGGAGATCATCTAATGCACATTTGTTCTGGGGAATGCTGACTTGATACATTGATTCCACATACTCTTCCAGGCAGTGTTGAAGAATGCCATCATCCAAAATTTACCTATGGTTTGTTTTGGTTTCTTAGTGATCCTTTTGGACTTATTACTTATCACATCTTTGTCTAGTACCTATGTAAGGTCTCCTTGTTAAAGGTTAGAGAATAAGGAAGTGTAAGTGATACCAGCAAGGTGTGTAAATTCATGACTCCAGATCCTTTAAAATGTGATGGGCCAATATCAATAAATTTCTCAGAGTTTTCACAGAATCTCTAGTTTAAATGTGACCTCTACCTCCCAGGGCATCTGTTCTACCCATTTAGTCTGTTTCTTTACGTTCGGTGTTTAGTATTAACATGAATGACTTCTCAGCCCCAACTTTTTGACCTCTCAGCCATATTAGATATCCTTGGCCATCTCCTTTGTCATTGATGTTTCCCTCCCACAGCCCTAAGCTTCCAGTGCACCATTTTCTCCTGCTTCTGCTCCAGTTTATGTGATGACTCTTCTATATTTTGCAAAGTTTACTCTTTTGCTTT